ATGTAGCAAAAATGGAAAGTGATGTGTTGAAAATATTGAAAATGTTGTGTAGCGAAGATGCAAAGTTTTGTGAAGCAAAAATTGAAAATGTTGTGAAGCAAAATGGAAAGTGTTGTTTAGTAAAATGGAAAATGTTGTGAAGCAAAAATGGAAAGTGTTGTGTAGCAAAATGGAAAGTGTTGTGAAGCAAAATTGTAAAATGTTGTGTAGCAAAATGGAAAGTGTTGTGTAGCAAAATGGAAAATGTTGTGTAGCAAAATGGAAAGTATTTTGTCGCAAAAATGGAAAGTGTTGTTTAGAAAAAAATGGAAGGTGTTGTGTAGCAAAAATGGAAAGTGATGCGTTGAAAATTGAAAGTATTTTGTCGCAAAAATGGAAAGTGTTGTGTAGAAAAATATGGAAAGTGTTGTGTAGCGAAGATGCAAAGTTTTGTGAAGCAAAAATGCAAAGTATTTTGTGGCAAAATGGAAAGTATTGTGTGGTAAAAGTGGAAAGTTTTGTGTAGGAAGACCGAAATAATGGTTTTCTGGATATCCTTTATTCCGGAGTTTCAAACGAAGAGAATATATGCACTGAAGACTGTTTTTACAAAATGTTAGCGACTGTGGCCAGATTCACTTTCAAGTTCCGTATTGTAAAATATAAAATCGTATAATTTCGAACACTAGCAAGTCTAGTGGTGTGATCTCACAAGGTTTATGCACGATACGCGTACAATGTGCCCACGATGTGTTTGGTGTGTTGTGCGATACCACAACTGCATGTGTAGTATCTCATAGCGGTCTGTGTGGAAAAAATGACCTGGGGTCATTGTTCTGCAGGAAACATACATACTCTTCCTAACTCTGGTAATATAATAACTATCTGCTCCACGTATATAGAACTTTGCCAGTTTAAAAATACACACATATAAACATCCATAGCTTGGCGATGATATAGGAAGTTTTGAAACCGGAAATTCAAACCCCTTACACTACAACAGTTCTGATAATAATCTTTCATTTAATTATATTTTCTAATTGTATAATTTAGAAACGATGATTCAGACATTTTGTATTCTACTGTGAAAGAGTCGGTACAACTTCATGGAAAAGGTCTGGTAGTTTATTGTCCTACCTGTATGTGACTAGAAACACCTCCCGGAAATTGACTGAGTGGTGATAATGATGCGTACAATATGATTGCTGTGTTATGTATCAGTTTTAAGGCAAAAGTTGGTCACGTGCGAGTTTATTGTTCTTGTAGGTACTTCTGGTTTTCGTCAGAAACATCAAAAGCACGTAGATTATATCAACCTATATCAGCAAGAAGGTTCATAAAATATTCACAAAAGTACAGACAAGTATTAAGGGATGATAATAATAGCGATACTTTGATATCATAAAACGAATGTTTTATCGGCGCCATAGAAATGTTAGGTGTGTGGTAACTATCTGTTTTCTAAAACCTTACACTTGGTGTTATGTAAAAGATATACTAGCATTCTTATTTCCTTTAGATGTTTTAACTAACACTCTTTGTATTTATTTACACGAAAAAGTAGTCGGAATATATTACGTTATCACAGGACCAACGATCGGTGATGAATGCGCTAAACTAGACATCTATATATCTAAAAATATCTTATATTGTATACACAATACATAGTATGTAAAGTTCATATCGAGGGTTTATGACAAGCTTTGATTGTAGATTGTTTTCCATTTAAACGTTTTGAAATGAGAAAGTACGTCTTAATGAATTCCTATGATATCGAAATAAAAAATAATATGCTTTATTATTTTTGGCGAATAATCAATTCTGTGAATAATCAATTCTGTGAATTGATTTCTTATATCAGAAATTTCGTAGACTTACAATTATATAGTACCCACTGTGTCGTGATATGTAATCTTTCATCACAGACACCTATCAACCTATTGTCAATTTATGACGTCACAGCTAGTTAGGCTTTCTATAATGGACAAATTTGTTCGCAAGACTGCTTACCTACTGTCTAGTTAATAAGTTATTTTATATTTTCAGACCATACAATACAAACCATATTTCATATTGTTTTAGGAATTGTAACAACCTAGAGCATCTTTTGGATTTCAACACTTTGGTATGGTGATACGTAATGAAGTAATATTGAGTAACAATCAGTTGTTGTTTAAATCTGTGCTCGAAGTGTAAACTACTATCTTCCTTTCGGTATAGATTTCCATAAGAAAATTTAGGGAGATCGAAAGCAGTAGGGCGGTGTATGGCGAGAGGTGGATAGAGAGAAAACTAGCCAAGACACCACAAACAGAGCATCGCTAGAACTCTCTATGTGATTCATCCCTCCTCAAAAAGGAGGTGTGATGGACAGGCCGTGCATGTTGTCAAAAATAACCTCAATACCGTTAGGGCCTTGGTCTATATTTATATACAACACGCCACTATTTAATCTTTTGACCTTGACAGAAAAGCAGATGTGCATGTGAAAATTATCATAAATGGCTATGTTTTACCCAAACAATTGTAGTTTTTAAAGACCTAATGCCGATTCTTTGAGCTGAATAGTTATAACGCACAGATTAATTAACTGATTAGGCAATTGATTGGAACTACGTAGACTGCACAAGAAGCTTGTATTTTGTAAACGTGAAAATGGTCGCCCCTACATTTTACATGTAATTGATACTCACTGGTAAACAACGGCTGGTGTGATAGTAGTATGTAAATGTGGTACGTGTTAAGTATTGCTGACTGATGGGACCACACAATCATTACTTTGAAAGCTAGTACATCACAACACAAAGATGGTATAGCGCCAGCCACGGGATGCATGTAGCCCGAAGTTCGTGTGGCAACTCAAAGGGCAGACAAAAGACGCATCGAACAAGCGGGCGAGCTGCCTAACTTATGTGGAAATGTAGATGCGTTCGTTCCAGTGAATTTTGTGTAATTAGTGGAGTATGTTTCGTTCAGTTTCGTTGCAAATTCTATATCAGTTTTGATATAAGAACACTTTCCTCAAAGAATTCACATGTCCTGAGGATATGGAATAAAATGTTCTGTATATAGAAACCTGGAATAACGAATATCCATACATGAACTACTGTGCTTGCTTTAAGATTCCGGAACAACGTGTGTTTGCCTGTAGAGTGTCCGTAAACGTCATGACACGGACGTTCAGATTCTGGAACAACGTATGTGTTTGCCTTTTGTTACATTATGTTACGGACGTTAAGAGTTAAGATTTAATTTGTTAAATGTAAGCTCTATACCCCACTCAGCGGTTCGTACTATTATTGAAAATGAAGAAAAGGACATTAACCCAATATTCCTTGTGTCATTTATATAGGTAAATAAACAGAGCATAAGAATGTCTGGAATGTCTGGAATGTCTGGAATGTTTGGAATGCCTTTACACGCGTAGAGAATGTAGAACATTGTAGAAGTATGACCGAAACATTTACTGGAGATGATAATGCTGATGACAGGTTGGAAAGTACGCGCGAGGCTTGAGCGCGTTAGGGTGTGCATAACAAGATACGCACGATGATGTAGGAAGCCATTAATTAGGAGGCACTTGTTTGTATACATTATGTACTTATATACACACCTATATCTGTAAATAATGTTTGGTGAATTTACTTCCCGTTTTACGTCAGTGTAGATATAGGTCAAAAGATCATGTCGGAGAACGAATTCTTTATCAGAAGTTTCCACCAAAAGTTTAGATCCTTATATACCGGACTCGACCCTTATATACCGGATTCTGTCCCTATATACCGGATTCTGTCCCTATATACCGGACGCTACTCTTATATACCGGACTCTACCCTTATATACCGGACTCTGTCCCTAAATACCGGACTCTGTCCTTATATACCGGATTCTGTCCCTATATACCGGACTCTATCCTTATATACCGGACTCTACCCTTATATACCGGACTCTGTCGTTATATACCGGACTCTACCCTTATATACCGGACTCTACCCTTATATACCGGACGCTGTCCCTATATACCGGACTCTATCGTTATATACCGAACTCTGTCCTTATATACCGGACTCTATCGTTATATACCGGACGCTGTCCCTATATACCGGACTCTATCCTTATATACCGGACTCTGTCGTTATATACCGGACTCTACCCTTATATACCGGATTCTGTCCCTATATACCGGACTCTATCGTTATATACCGGACTCTGTCGTTATACCGGACTCGACCTTTATATACCGGACTCTGTCCTTATATACCGGATTCTGTCCTTATATACCGGACTCTGTCATTATATACCGGACTCTGTCCTTATATACCGGACTGTACCCTTATATAGCGGACTCTATCCTTATATAGCGGACTCTATCCTTATATACCGGACTCTATCCTTATATATCGGACTCTGTCCTTATATACCGGACTCTACCCTTATATATCGGACGCTACCCTTACAACCGAACGTTTTGGGTTTGGGAACTGTATTAATCCCAAACAATCTCAGTTGCTAAAGGTCATATATCACAATTTCTTTCACTTTCTTGCCAACCTTTGTTTTGGAATCGCTTATCATACATTTGAAATGTATATGAAACGTTCGTTAATTTGAATAAAATAGCTTTACATATTTATAACTGGATATATACTTCATTGCATTAGTCTATACCCCAAAGATAAATGTGTTTCAATTTATGTTACTTTTTGTGTAGGAAAGAGGAAACGTTTGTGTCAATATCCAAATAAATATATTCCCGTAACAAAACCTATCACTTAATCATATTAAACAATTTTCAATTCACGAAGACAGAATGGACGATCACGTTTCTCTCTATTGAAACAATACAATGATTTCATAGAAATCTGTGATGTTTGAAATGTGTGACGCCAAAAGTTAAGCTTGCAACAACAGCTGATATCAGCATTTAAGAAACAATTAGTTTGCTATGCACGACAATAATGGATTAGTACATTGATCGATTGTTTATCAAAGTAAAGTTTGAAAACAAGAATTAGACTTACCGGTTCCAGTAGATGTACGAATGTTAAGCTATGGGGAATGAGTGCTAGACCTTATGTTACTGCGCAGCATTTTTTGCACACGAAACCAAATTGTTAACTTACTTTCCAAACTCGTGCAATTTTTGTTTCTTGATTTGCACACCACCCCAACTCTTACTGTTATTCGAGACATAAATGGAAATATGACGTCAGTTCTCGTATTGTTGTACGACACACCCCGTTACTCTCGCTCTCCCTTTCTAGGACAGCAGATTTACCTCCAGCTGGGCACACATAACGATCACATGGAATGACAGATTACAAATGTTTGACCAGTGTCATTTGCTCGTAATTAAGACCAGATATTTTGGTCAGATGATGGGGGAACCCCCACACCTTTTGGTCAGATGATGGGGGAACCCCCACACCTTTTGGTCAGATAATGGGGAATCCGGTTTGTAATCCAATTACAAACTGTACAGAGTTTACAGCGAGCAGACGTGATGCTCTAATGTGAGACTTTGATCAATCAGGAGCAGACATGTAAACACACACGTGTGTTTTAAATGTATCAAAATCTGTTATCTCTTATCTACAGGGTACACATGGCTTATACATGGTATTCACGTCAAGAACCAGTACATCATACATGGCATTAACCCCTCTCATCGTTTATACGGTTACAATATCCGACATTTGTGCTTGTGTTTTCATAAACAGTTCATTCATATCTTCACTCTACATTCACCATTCAAAACAAAATTAAACATATGCACGTGAATGGGTTAAAGTGGTTACAATGCTAAAACTGATCGTCACGTGAAACTAAAGTATTTACGACAAATCAATAGTTAAATACAATTTCATCACTTAAAACACTTTTCAAATAAATCATCGAAATATTTAGAAAATTTACTACATAATTATGCTTATCTTAAACGACTCCTTAATGGTTAGTGTTGTGTAATATGACATGTCAACGGATCTAAACGTTGTTCCACTGCAAATCTAAATATAGAACACTGTTATATCTTTATCTTTGTGTTTCGCAAATAGAAATTACTCCCCAAGTGCCCTGAACTCACTTATAGCTTTATGTCTGACGTGAGTGCATGTGGTATTAAATCTAGTCTATTTCCGTAGAGTTAAAAAGAGATAAACTGATAAGATATTTCTTAAAATAGAGCATGACATCACTTTTGAAGAAACAAAGAGAAAGTTTTTATCAATATCAAACAAATTGATAAGCATCCTGACGTATAAGGCTATGTTGTGAGTCATAAGTGACGCTTTTTACTTCCGGTAGAAGGGGGCGGGTCTCCCTGTGAGGGCAACAGATATGTATACGATGACTAGTATGTCGTTAAAATGAAGGGATGGTACTTGGAGAAATAATTGTCGATGTTGTTTGTCTACACAGCGTTGCTGTTTATACACTGTGTATGTAAACAGGAACTGCATGTACATCACCTAAATAGTGTCTCTTTATTCACTTGAGTGAATATTTATCGTCAAACATCTTCCCCGTCACTTTCTGAAATGTTTCATTCTTGCTGTTTTACGATTTACTTTTGTAACGAAAATTAATCTCTGACAAAAAGTCAATTTTTTCGATCATAAAAAAACTTTCAAAGTGTCAAGTTTAAAATACAGTAGGACAGTAAATATTTAGAAGTATAAGCTTAAAAAATAATAGGATTTAACTCAATGTCACTTTACAAATTTATTCGTCTTGTTCTTACGACGAAATAACATAGCTATAAAAAACTTTACCGACCATAATACCACATAATAACATCACTATGCACAAGAGTATATATAACGCTATTTCTGTATTATGTATTGACATCTGAAGCTGGTGACACTGATCTCAAACAACAGAAACATTACCGACTCGGGGCTCTTTATAAATCGATTTTAAAATATATAAACACCATCTGGTTTTTATATCAGAAGTCCATTCATATAAAAATGATTTATGCTATGTCAATGTTTCTTAAATCGCTGTTACCTGAATGATATCTTAAATCGGATACCAACACTTCGTGCATCTAGGAGTGAGTTTATTCGAACTTCGTTCCTTTCCATATTGAGCTTTTTTTTAAAATCCAGCGTGTCTAAACTTAGCATCTATTGCTTATTCATTTCAGTACTGTCATTTAGATATATAAAACATATCAGATGTTATACTAGGTGAATATACACACAATGTACATACTTGGTAAGATGAGAGGGAAATTGAAATTATTTGATCACATTTTCAATACTATGAGTAGTATACACATTTTATTGGAGCTTTTTTGATACAGGCCTTCAGATTTGATGAATTCGTGTTGAATACTTTACCAAACAATAACATAGTTTTCAGCTTATAGAAAACGTGCCGACTCCGATACAGGAAGCAGAACAAATCATAAGCAGTAGAGAATTTAGCCAAATCTGAAAGGAAGAAAATCATCAATTTGTCAAATATTGATTCTATCAGAATATTACGAATGCTTCTAATTCTTTTAATTCAATTTTTCGACAGAACGAGACTATATATACAAAGAAGCACGCTACAACGTTGTTACGGAAACAGTATATTTAACACAGTAATCAATTAGTTAAAATTCGCCTGTTAATTGTATCGCACAAGTTTTACCTGTAGACTACAAGAGAGCTGTACCAATGATAAGACACTCCCCGTGATATGTATAGTGAGTACAGACACACACTAGTACTCGATTTACCTATAAACTACAGGAGACCTGTGCAGGTGAGACAACACTCCCCGTGATATGTATAGTGAGTACAGACACACACTAGTACTCGTTTTACCTATAAACTACAGGAGACCTGTACAGGTGAGACAACACTCCCCGTGATATGTATAGTGAGTACAGACACACACTAGTACTCGTTTTACCTATAAACTACAGGAGACCTGTACAGGTGAGACAACACTCCCCGTGATATGTATAGTGAGTACAGAATGTCTTATCGTCTCCCCCATAAAGCTTCCTCATGTCGTCACAAGTCTGCCAGCCGAACATCAGGTCCATACACTTTGTATTCGTCACGCCATCGGCATTCGCTCTGTCTGCAAATGATAAAGTTTTTTGCATCTTGGATATATATCACTGCCATTGCCAGTATTACAAGCGAGCGTTAGCCCAGAGAAATATCACACCCTAGTTCATGAGGAATTCTACCTAAGACACTTGATAGAAATAATATTTACTGTTTGTCTTGTTTTGAATACCTGAATGATTTAATCGTGTATATAAGACTTCCGCATAACTGTCATACGTGCTTAAGAACAGTAAATGCATTTTTCATCCTTTGACAAAACAAAATGGAAATTATCAAGTGTGTGACTTTTGGCGCCAAATAATTTCCGAATGTGTTTGATTTCTCGGTGCAATCAACAGAGGGTGTCCGACTGGTACAGTTATGTAGAATGGAGTATTAAATAAAGAACATTGGTATGATAACATACATATTTTAGTGTATCAGTATATTTCCAAACCAATGTGTATACGAGATTAGATCATCCGAAGTGAAACCTTGGCTATTAGCTTTTCTTACTGTGAAAAGTGAATTACTCATTGAAAGTGACCATTACACATCGATTAATTCCATGACGGAAATCGACAATATATTTTATAGACAGATTTTTTTGTATGTTACTGGGTCCTTTAGGCTGATGCTAGCGACTGTCACACGAATACTTGGTAGTACAGATGTGGTTCAGAAAGTATCTCATTGTATAGAGAATTGACCAGAGGTCAAACTTGCGACACCCTTTACCGAACACGATACATGATAATATTGTATAACCAGAGTTATTTCTATATCTAACAACGGAAATAGAAATACACGACAAAACCTGATGTAATACTTAGCTCGAGTCTATTTCAGTTTGCATCACGTTTGATACCTGATAGATTTGGTTAATAATAAAATTCTGTGGATATTGTACTAAATATGTTTTCAGGAATATCCACCTAACAGTGATAAATAAACCGGCATGATTAAGAATAATTTATCAATTCTACAGAACGTGTTATTGACACTGGTAATTGTTTTGTGAATTCTGATCAGTAGGAAAAAAAAAATGAAAAAGAGTCTGTTTGGAGCATTCAGATGAACTTATATAGTTTGAGATATATGTATGTTTTATTAGTTTTACATACATGTACTTACCGATATGTTTACACGCGCATCCGGAAACAAACACCAAGAAAAAGAAGAGTGCACGCCCCATGTTTCGTTTCAGCAGTTGTGAAGTAAATGCTGTCCTGGCCGATACGTTTGGCATATTTGAAATAATAATTACGTTGACAGCCTAGAGGCAACAGCTGACAGTGAGGAGAAAGTATTCAAGTGTAGATTTCCGATAAATTACCTAACATCATCATCATCGTCATCGTCATCGTCATCATCATCATCATCGTCATCGTCATCGTCGATATTGTTTTCTTTTAAAAGGGACAGCAGCACCGATCAGAGTTAATCATATCAATGATAGAGAATATAGTATAAAAATACTACTGGTGGATTCAATAGTAAAGCATTGACGACTTATACTTTCATATGTACTATTGTTGTTACCACCATCAATGTCACATCATATTTTCATGATATCGCTATAATTAAAGTTGCTGCGATATGCTTATCATTACACGATTGATATATTTAAATCGTCAAATGTTTGAAAGTCACGAAAGATGGTAAATATTGGTTGCGAAATTATCTCCCTTACATCTCCGTATGTCTATATTGACAGAGTTTTCATTTTCAATCGTTATTGCCACACATTACCAAAATATATCAATGCACTTCAATCAACGGAAGTTTTACATTTCTCAACTTCTGAAGCATACTTAAAGTGAACTTGTTTATGATCCCATTAGGCGATTTTTAAGATGTAGGTTTTTTTTGTTTGTGACGTCATGTTTCACAGTAAATGTTACGGAATCGGAACCAAAGATATCAATTTCTTAATTAAAGTTCGTAATGGGAGGAACGTTCCAAAATTCGTGACGGGAGAAAAGATTAAAGGTGGCTAGTCTTGTGAAGGAAAAAAAAGTGCCAAATTTCATGTTGAGAGAAAATGATCTCATTTATCGGAAATCATTATTTGTGACAATCCTTAACCACGAGTAAAATGACACATTAATGCGACAAAGAAAAGTTTTCTTTTCTTTGCTAATGTAAACGGGAAAATGAATCTACACATACAAATCTTTGTCAATTTTGTCAAAGTTTTCTTTTACGAAAATGAAGCAGAAAAAACATTGGGATTTTGTATTTAGCAAATGATGTATGAATATATTTGAACTATTAAATATTTGTCTTTCTTTTTTGGCTGTGGTATCAGAAAAAAGAGAAGAAATTTAGAATGTGCCGTGATGATAGTTTAAGGCCGAGAAACTGAATGTCTTCTTTATCTTTTTGTCTGAAAACTTTGGCATCGATGAAAACAAGATATAAGTTCATGGTTGTCATTGTCGGTTTTATTACAAGGAGGACTGTGTATATATATTATCTGTACCGGGAATCAGAGGTACAGATAACGACAGACATCTCTTACCGTGCGTGTTAAAAATAAGATGATACATCATATTTCCAAGGAAAACATCAAAACTTCAGACACTGGTACTCAAATTATCTTTATTAATATCCCTTTCCATCGATTAATGACTATTCCAAATACACGGTGTTTAACACTAAAAATTAAAGACTTACATGTAGTTTTTGATAAACTGTTCTTATATGCGTGCCATCAATATTATTTTCAATTCCATTTCAATTTGTTCCGGAGCTTATCGATGTTTTGTTAATACATTTGTATATTTTCCTATCTGTGTGTTTTTATTTGCTCCGTGATTCCATATTTCATCAGCACTTCCGGAATAAGCTGTTGTTTCCATTGCAGTACAAAGTGCAGCCCCATGGTGGCTTGAACGACTCGCCACTTTTCATATGCCTGCCCATATATGTACATCCCGTATCCTCACTTTCCGCTGGTTCTTCAACAGACGAAGATTCTTCAGCTGGTTCAGGTCTGGCTATCGGGTGGATGGGAACTTCTGGTTCAGGTGATTTCTCCGGCTGAGGGTGTTCCTCCGGCGTTGGCCTCTCCGTTGTAGATACTGTTGAATCGCTCCACATAAATGTCGTAGACTTTTCATTATTTGATTCAGATTCTTTAGATGACGAAGATGATAAATTATTTTCATGAAGCCGGAAAGCGGAAGCAGAGTTATCGTACTTGTCAGCTATACTGGAAGCGTACGGTTCAGCAAAACTGAGTGGTGTCGTCGGGGTTGTGTTGGGCAAGGTTGAAGATGTAGATGCGGAGTCTCTTTTATCAGATCTCTGCGAATTAAACTTCGTGTTTGAGTATCTTAATTCAGGTAGGTATCCTCTGCCTAACGAACCTGTCCAGGATCTAACAGATTTCGCTACGTTGACAGCATGTTGATACCCATACGTTTTCGTCGGTGACCAGGGTATTGCACCGTCCTGACCCGTACCTGCTCGAGTCAGAAACTCGAGTTGGTTGTAACCATTACAAACAAGAGCGAACTGTGGATACTGGTTAAGTACGTACACTTTGTCTGATTCTGGACATTTACATTGCCACGTCATATCCGGCATCACAAAACAATAAAACGCAGTGGGACTATTAGCACCGATACCTCTACTCGGAAAACAGTGACTGTTTTGTACAGTAAGTACCGACAGAACAAACCAAAACACGTAAGGAAACATTTCCAATGTGTTCCACAAATGTTTGTCGCCTTGTAGTCCACACCAGTGAGAATGAAAACTCCTAAACTTAGGTATAAATATTATAAATGTATTGGCCACTTTATTTGGGATCTAGGTTTTACGATTTCCTGTAAATAAAATATGAAAATATTTCTCAGGAGACCAGCTGTGAAATCTCAGTATATAATCTGATTATCATAATATGATTTAATTGATTCAGTGACGTGGTTCTACATAAACTGAAGTAATGTGAGTTTAAGTATCCAGATGTCCCCTCTCTTGACAGATAGTCCGGGAACAATCAATATGTAGTCAATCTATCACTATTATAATATAACTTAATATTTACAACTGAAGTTTATTACAGTTGAGTCCTGGCTCTTTTTCGGCTGATCACATGGGCAGTTTAGCTAAGGTAACCAGTAACACATAGGTCAGTATCCATCATTATTCCGGGTTATATACACACAAGGAAACATTCCATTTTGATATTTGTTCGTTTGTTTGTTTGTTTTTTAATTACGTGTAGGACCATTTGCACAGTTCTATCCGGGCCAACAGGGGTGATTAATTTAATTTTCAAAAGCTTGTTTGTAATTGTTGTAAAATAAACTTTAATTTTAACTGTCACATGTTTATTGTATGTATGAGAAGCATGTACACGCAAGAAACTTGTCATGACCGGAGACCAGAAAATCAAAGCCTCACATTTCATTTTACGTTTGTTAGCTCATTGTTAATTATATGTTGTACATCTAAATTCCAACGTATTTTCAATTTAACCAATATTTAAAGCGATAATATTAACTTTATATACTTATATTGCTATGTCAAATTCAATGAGCTAAACAAACAGCTTGACCATAAATCAAATCAACTGAATCCACTGTTCCCCTGATACACGTACAGATACTAGGATCGGTAAATTTGAGATTCTGATGTGTTTCTCAAACAGTTATATTTTCAGACACACACAAACACACAGAAAAAACAAACAATCCTCCCCCAGCCCCCCTCCTCCCCCCCCCCCCACCCAAAAACAAACAAACAAACAAAAACAAAAAATATAAAAATCCTCGATATTTTGATAATATACATTTTGTAAAAATGAACAGCAGTCACTTCGTCCAAAAGAGTTATCTTTCTTTAGTCCGTCTAACAGAAATAACAGGCTCTATAACTACACATGACTAATGCTGTATCAAACCATTCAATAGATAAGTAACAATCGATGATGTTTTGTAATTGAGAAATTAGACTAAAAATGTCTTTGATCAGGACCTGTGTCACAAATAACATAGACAAGTTCACTGTGTGTTTAACATTATGGCATGAAACGGGATGTAATAAGCGATAAACGTGAAAAAAGTTCTGAAGACGGAATCGGACTACTCAAATAAGCATAATTAAGTCCCTAGTGATAAAATAATGAATTTTCGTAGGGCTCGTGTTCTATTAAAATACATTATTTCGGAGACATATCGTCGGATCTCGTGAATAAATTAAACTCATTAAGATACGTCATCGGAGTTATCGGATAGATAGAACTCAATTAATCTACTAAAACCAATTTTGAAAAATTATCTTATTTACTCAATAAGACACATGATCAGAGTTTGATAAATAAAGCTCAATAAGACACATTATCAAAGTTAGTGGATAAATTAAACTCATTAAGATACGTCATCGGAGTTATCGGATAGATAGAACTCAATTAATCTACTAAAACCAATTTTAAATTCATTTCATTCGTGGACACACAATACTAACAAAATCAATTAAAATAAACACCAGCGAAAGTCAGACAGTTTTCTAGAGAACATTTGCATAAATCCTTTATTTTGAAGCTTAGTTAGGAAAAAATCAGGAGTTGTCTTCCTTCGTCCGACATTTCAGTGGCAGCAATATAGATACAATTTATCAGCTAAAAAGTCGTGTCAAAATCATTTGAATTTTTAGTGTGTAAATACGCTTGGAAAATTTCATTTTGAAACAAGAACGTTGAATTAAATGTAAGAACGACCTCAGTATAACGATGTGGCTCTGTATGACAGACTTCATGTGTTTTTGTTGGACTAGGAAATTTGAATCCAACGAAAACATGATCTTTCAAAGATAACCAGACTAATACAAATTATATCATTTAATGACTAAGACATGCTCGGAGTACCACGAAATCAAGGGAAATAGACACTACAATAATGAATGATTTATCAGTATTTGAGTGAAATCTCTGAACACCATTCATAAGATTTAACTAATTGTCTTAACGTTGTATAACCAGCAAACCTGAAATACTGAATTAATGAAAGGTTAACATTATCAAGATAATGGAATTGATTGTGTTTCGGTTGAAGGCAAAACATTGAGATAACACGATGAAATGCAGTGATAAACTGAAATATCACGCGGTAAAATTGTGAGAATGAATATTAAACATTTCTCCCTTTTTCAGTGATTGTTTGTACTTTTAAGATATTGACTTCCTCTTTTGTGCAGAAAAGAAATTCGAGAATTCCTGTGATAATTCGATTTTGCAATTAGCAGTGACAACGTGTCTCTTTACAACATGATTAAGCATTGTTAAAATGCTATGTAAGCTAAAATATTGTCAAAACAGCGATGTAATTAGACATAGCACCATCTGGAGTGAGACAAATGAGTCTTTCTTTAGAGTCTTTCAAATTATATTTCTGTCAGAAATAAGATACAGTTTATACGCCGTCAATATCACATAACTTTAATCGACATATGTCAGATTAATAATTACGTCCTCATCTCTTCGTTAAACTAAATCTTCAGGCAAATCTCTTATTTCACAAGTTCTGATGTATGAATGACGGGTGATACAAATTGATCGATCTTCTTCTTTATTGATTAATTCATCAACTTATTTATTCTTACATTTATCAATTTATTCATTTATTTACCTATTTATTCCATTTAATTTTCGATTTTATTGAGAAATACTCTATTATATTTGTTTGTCTGGTTTGAAGTTAGACAAGTTTGATTTTCGCTATAAAACGAGATATTTACACCATATATATACACCAGATATTTGAAGCCAAAGACGCTTACCTCTCAATAACATATGGTCTTTTTCTCCTTGTACTTTTCAGCTGTCATAACGTATTTCTTTGTTCATGTTTTACCCTTGGTTTTTTTTAATCATGGTAACATTTCTGCATCGTCTTAGTTTTTTTAATGCTATTTTATTTAACCCCATCGTATACTTCGGGACAGAGTTCAGAAGCATGTGTTTTCAAGATAATCTCCAGCCATTCACTTATACATTAAGGAAAGCAAACATTTGATATCATTTGAAAAAGGCTACAATGTTAAGTCTCACTCTTAAACAAAACGCCCTTCACACGATTATGTTGGCACTAGTATTCCAAAGTATCGTGGTGAGAGAAAAAACCAAATTTCTTACCGCTTGTTTCATTTTTTTTTTCATTAGTATTGACGACTCCGATGCAACATTTTCTTTTATTTTCTTTTTTCTTTTAAATTTGTAAAATAACTCCTTTTAAATGAAAATTACGTTTTCGCTCCGATACCTACAGTCATCATATTTTAAAGCCCATTTAATAAAATCATCGAAATGTTTTCCTTCAATGCTATCTTAAAGTTCATAAGTAAGTGTTCTTCTTGTGGAATGGAAGCAAGTTGTTGTAAAAGTAAAGAGGAGAGAGGCGGGAAAATGTTGATACAGGCAGTGAGAGTAACGAAGTGCTGACTGTGAATAAACTATTGTACAAGCAATGAGAAGAACAGATCAAGTATTGAAAGATATTAAATGATGGCACAGACAATGATAGTGACAAAACACGTGTAAAATATGAACAAATGATGGCACAGACAATGATAGTGACAAAACAAGTGTAAAATATTAACCAATGATGACACAGAAAATGATAGTGACAAAACAGGTGCAAAATATGAACAAATGATGGCACAGGCAATGATAGTGACAAAACACGTGTAAAATATGAACAAATGATGTCACAGGCAATGATAGTGACAAAACAGGTGCAAAATATGAACAAATGATGGCACAGACAATGATGGTGACAAAACACTTGTAAAATATGAACAAATAATGTCACAGGCAATGATAGTGACAAAACAGGTGCAAAATATGAACAAATGATGGCACAGGCAATGATAGAGACAAAGCAGGTGTAAAATATGAACCAATGATGGCACAGGCAATGATAGTGACAAAACAGGTGCAAAATATGAACAAATGATGGCACAGAAAATCATAGTGAGAAAGCAGGTTTAAAATATGAACCAATGATAGCACAGAAAATGATAGTGACAAAACAGGTGCAAAATATGAATCAATGATGGCACAGACAATGATAGTGAAAAAACGAGTGTAAAATATGAACCAATGATGACACAGACAATGATAGTGACAAAACAGGTGCAAAATATAAACAAATGATGGCACAGGCAATGATAGTGGCAAAGCACATGTAAAATATGAACAAATAATGTCACAGGCAATGATAGTGACAAAACAGGTGCAAAATATGAATCAATGATGGCACAGGCAATGATGGTGACAAAGCATATGTAAAATATGAACAAATAATGTCACAGGCAATGATAGTGACAAAACAAGAGTAAAATATGAACAAATGATGTGGAGGCAATACAGGTGACAAGCAATGAATACAACGAAGGAAGTGCTGAAGAATTATACAAAAGACAAACAAGTGAATCACACCTTTCAATACAACTTTAGAGGTAGATACAGTCGAGTCAAACATTTAATCCTGTCCTTCTAAGATTCGTTAGTAATGCCAAGGGCCTGAAATTTAAACGTAGGAGGTGACTGAAGAAAATTTAAATTGATCGAAAGAAATTTCAAAATTTAGATAGGGAGGTGTACTAGCCCTATAATGTAATAAATTTCATATCCCTGACAATTTCATAAGAGCGTTACGTACATGTGTATATTGTGAACAGCGCCGGAATTTGAAGGA